TCTTTCCCTTTTCCCTGTATTTTTTATAGAAGGTATGGAATATTTTAAACAGATGGAAATATAAGCTTTTTATTCAGGGTGATTGATTGCAGAATAACTTGTATATCTTACACCTATCTTACCTAGACTTATCACCCATATTTTCAGATATTCTTTTAGGCCATATATTTTCATCCTTATTTATTTTAAATAGTAATACACTGAGAACTGATATTGAGATGCAAATTGCAAAGAGATTATAATTAAATAACACCTCAAAATGGAAAATGGTGTAAATCTATCAATCAGCTACTTCACATGTTGCAACGCAGACCCACTGCTATGATGTGGAGAATGCTGCCACTCTTAATTCCCCTCCCCCCCAGCTAAGCATAAAGATGATTTTGTGACAGTACTGAGATAAGCAGAATCACATTTTTATATCACTGAATAGAAAATTAGTAGCCTATACTAGTGATAATTGTGCTATATTTTGTTATTGTGTTCAACATTAAAAATAGGTTCTTTGAGGTAAAGCCGAACTGGTAAACCCGATTACCAGAAGATGCAATCAACTGCTTGCATATATTAGTCCACTCAGCTGCATAGCCGTGAAGATGGCTGCCCAGTCACTTGCACAGGCATAAACCTGATTTGTGATATCTTTTCAAAGCCAGGTCTTTGCTTTCTTTAAGCGTTAGTTTTACTTAGTGATTTGTATCATTTATGTTCAACAGTCAAATCATAGCTTATCTCTAGATTTTGTAAAGCAATTGAAAAAAAAAAAAACCGCATTTTAAAAATGTTTTATTGAATGCTGATTTTCACAATAAAGTTGAAATTTCCTATTCAATGCGCCTTTTTATTTTTTTTTAAACTCCCTGTCATCCTACTCCCTACCTTGCCTTTTAGTACTACAAACAGTAAAATGATGAGGTTTAGGATACTGGAGTATAATAACATGCTCAGTAGAATTTGACTGTCTGCTTAGCCAGAATGATTTCATTAGCTCTGTCTTAATGAAATCTTTTCAAATAGTTCAGATGCATAATGAAAGCATTGCTCAGTTTAGTACTTTTTTGTTTGTACAATATTATGAAGTGGACTTTTTATAATAGACATATAATTTCTTGTTAGAATGCAATTTTGCTCTGCTTTCACTTCCTACTTTTTAATCCCAGGTACATATTTTGTGCGTTAAATTTTGGCTTACTTGGCCTGTATTTCTGGTTTCAGGTATGGTTTGTCCTTTCTCCACCCCTCCTCTTGCATATTTACCTTGGATAGAAATCAGGAAGTTTATTTTGGGAGCTTCACCTAACCTTTGTTTTCTTGAGACCTGATTAAAGTTTGCTGTTTACTTGATATTTTAGGCTTCTTTCAAGCAACTGACATTCAAAAGTGGATGCCTGGATCTTCAGGTAATTAATACTGAACACAGTTTTGACTATTAAACTTTTGATATTAGATTGATGCTGCCAGTTTAGACAATGATGATTTAAATGACTAATAATCCAACTGATGGGAAATTGCGTGGTGTTACATTAGCACAACATTGTCTTTAGACACTCACTTGTCATCCACAGTTCAACCCCTACAGCCGATGGCTGAGGCAACACAATAATAAAAAGACGTTCCTCAGTAGCTGTACGCTTAAACTGTAGCCTGTTTGGATAATAAATGGCTGGCCTCTTAGGAAGAACTGCAGGAGCCCTAAGCAAACAATGGAATTTGTAAACTCTCATCTTGCCTACTTATTACGCCAGCCTCAATCTGCAAAGGGGACTGAGTAGCTGAATTCTGATAACTAAATATGCAAGAATCTAGAAAAGCAACCCCTGCCCTCCAACTTTCCAGGGAATAGTAATATTTACTATTTTATTAATAACACTTCTAAAAACAGCTACTCAGAACCAGCACTTTGGAATAATGACTTCTCAAAACATTTTGCAGCTTTGCTTACTATTATTCCAAAATATCTTGCTCTGCAGTTTTGCTTGTTTCTTTCTACGCTCAGTAATGTTTCCATAATTTGAAAACTTCTAACTGCTGAAGTATTTTAATTCTGATTAGATTATTCTAGGCATAGTCCTCATTTGATACAAGTTAAAAATCTTACCTCTTTTTAGAGTCATAGATGTTTGATTTAACCTTCTCTAAATAAAGGGAAGTCCTGACAATTTTTTGTGTAGCGATTATGTCAATCCATACTGGACTGGTGGCAGTCCTTCCATGGTCCCAGTGGAATGTAAATTATTTTTCGTCAGAGTATTTTAGCACACACATACACTGTTGACTAAGATCAGCTGACAGACCAGACGCAAGAGTAAAGTTGCGTTGAAGCATTCTGAATTATTTAGTTGTAAATTTTACAATATTATCTGTAAAAACATAGCTGACATTTCCATTTTTTATGTTAATAACCTTCAGCAAACCATTATTTTATATTACTTTTAAGGAATACTAACAGGAAATAAAATAAATGGTGCACATATTGGAAGGTGAGTAGTTGCTCCTGTCCTTTAAACATAGTCCTCATTCTTGGGCAATGTACAGGATCACCAATGTTTTCATTAGTTGTACTTGCGTTGCTAGTTTCATTCTAAAGACAAATTCACCAGATCATGAAACGTTAAGTCTAACTACTTATATTTCAAGCTACATGTACAACAGATATGAAAAAAATGACTGTGGGCTCAATTATGTTTCTTTTCATGAAAGTGCTTTCTCTTAACCTCCCTTTCCCCTGCTTTTCTGAACTCCAGTAATTTAGCTGAATTGTAATTCCTTTCTATGGACAGTCGATCAAACATTCTCACCATTATATAATACAATTTTCATTTTATTTTAAACATACTTTGCATGATATAAAAATATTGATCACAGTGAGCTTTAACAATTGTTACTGCTATAAACAGGAATGCTGCACAATGTTTTTAGTGGAAATAAATTATATAGTCATTATCTCTTAAAAAAAAAAATCACAAGAAGGAAAACCTAGGCTGTTTGGTCATTGGCAGAAAATAAGTCCTTACTGAGTTCTTTACAAAACATAGACCCCAGTTATTTTCTACATTTGCTTTCCACATCTTGAGAAAAGCACAATGTGTCTGTCTCTGAAAGCCCCACAGGGTCTCTGGTGAACATTTAATTCCAAATATTAGCGAAGTTTCTGTTGTTCTTTTGTTCTAATGGAAAAATGTACACCAAAATGGCAAGTAGTGCTCTCTTCACTAATTCATAAGTGGTCTTTTCCAGTATGTGGGTACACAGCGGCACACTTCTTCACTGAAATAAAATCCAGCATCGCAGCGTTTCGTTCGAACTGTACATGGCGGTCTGTAACAACTGAAATGAAAAAAAGTGGGCATTAATAAAACATGATCATTTATATTAACCTGGAATTTAAATCTATGGCATTTACAATGCCATTGCTTTATGGAACATTTAATTCCATAATTTAATTCATGTGAGTACATATCTTTCAACTTTTGGATATAGTCTTACAACCACTTTTAATTGGATTATTTTTCCCAAAAGACACTAAAGAAAGAGACTCAAGAATGTTATTGAGGAGAAATTACGGGGTTTTATAACAGCTATTTTTAAAGTATTGCCTGGTTGCAGTGACATTATAATCTTGAGTAATACATCAGGATTTTTTATTTTGAAAACACAGCAATATTTTTCTGTACTTCAGTCAGCTTACTATGAGCTACTGAATGCTACCTGTTTGAGAGGACAATGCAGAATGAGTAGATAGTCAAATCTACCATCTTCTTTGCCAGGAATGTTTGTTGTCTTAGTCGCTAATGCAATAGCCATTTGTATACGGATGTTGCACCATGATCCTGATCTTGAAAAGAGAGCGTACTTAGACCCTCACAGAGTTCAGTGGGGATACATCTATACTTCATATTACATCTATGTGCATTCTGAAGTAGGATCAGAGCTTTCATGTTTCTGGTAAATCTTAAAGGAGAAAGGCTAGAAATAGCACCTATTTAATTAAAGTAAATTTAATTGAAATAGGTCATTAAACCACAAATCACATCTATCTAAAAATTAGGAGAATGTCTCTTCACAGACTATATGACTTAAAAATAGAAATTATACAAAAATAGTATCTGTGGTTGTCCCTGAACTCCTCTTCCTTTTTCCTTTTTTTTATTTTTTCTATTAAAACAACAAGTTGACCTAAAATAACCTTACAACAACAATGCTAAATGCATTCTGGTGTATAACAGAGAAAAAGTACATGTCTGAGTTTTTTTTCAGACATTGGCAATGAGTCAAAAGAGAAAAGTATATGTTTCACATTTCAACACAATTATACTTAAAACTTGTATTTAAATAATATGACTGTGAAACACTGATATTATGATCTATTATGATAATTCATACTTACTTCAGTTTAAAGACATTACAGTATATTATATAAAGGCAATTTCAGTAACCTCTTCCCTAGGCAATTTCCTTGTTTCAAACTTGTGGTTACTTTTATTATTGTTGCAGATATGTCAATATGTTGCATGCTTATTTTGGATATCAGGTTGCCACTTGGCAACACTTTCTTTATTATACAAGGTCTGGATTACAGTTATGTTCATTCAAGCCAGTTAGTTCAGCCAATGAACAGGGATATGAAGAAAGCAATAAGGAATGAGGAAGACAGCAACCATGGCATTTATTAACTAGTCATATCTTGTTCAGTGTTTTCAGTGTCATTAACCATAGATTATTTCAATGATGTGACTTTTGAGAGTAACATTACTTTGTTCTAGGTATAATAACTCTTAATACAACTGTTCGGGATCAGTGAAATGACTCAAGGAAATCTTCCAAAGCCCTACTGATCTTTTGTCCAATAAAATTTTGGAAACAGTGGTAAAAGCCAACAAAAATCACACTGACACTTGATCGAGCAAGTGGACTGTACTATCTTCCATCTATTTGCCAGAGGAACTCTGTGAGTAAATGGGAAATCCGCAGTCGGTTTGTTCTCAGAAAAAAAGTACTCCACAGAGGTGTAATGGATTTTTTTGCCTCTTTCTGCCATGAAAGATGGCAGAAAGACTATTTGAGGTACTGAATGACAGTATAATGAAAGAAATGAAGTAAGAAAAGAAAAAGAATGAAAGACAAAGCCAAGCTCTCCTCCCCCATCTATGACATGTTGTAGATAATGAAGAACAGTTGTGTAACCATGAACTATGAGGAATCCACTTTCTTTAGGATTTGTGCCTCTTACTGAATTGTGAACTTCAACATAACTTTGCTGCAGTTGACAAGAGTACAAAGCATCTCTCCCATGCGAGTTTCTTGGTGTCTAACAGCAGCCAAATTCAGATTACTGCAGCATTCCCCTCAGTTTGGACACACTAACAGAACAAGAAGCCCCTTTTTACTTTTAACAAGCTTTGCAGCTAAGGTTCCTAGTTATCTGGTCCTGTCAAAACTGGCCAAAATCATTTTTTTAAGGTGATAGCACAGTGTGAGTAGTAGCACAGTCATTGTAACTATATGCATGTGGCTTCCTCAGGAGACTCTGCTCAATAATAGAGAGTAGGTCTTTCAAAAGATTTAGGCTGAATGTTGTTTATGGAGCGCTTCCATGTAGCACGTCTGTTTTGACGAGATAGGTTGGGTGAGTCACTTCTAGCTTTCTCTTTATGGTCACTAATAGAGATTTTGCTACTGAATGCAAATCGAGTTTGAGATTCTGGAGGTTCTAAGATGAAACGAAAGTAGAAATGCTGTCCTTAATGGTGGTTGCCATCATCATCATCATCTTGACAAACAATATATTTTTTAGAGGGCAGCGGGGGTGGGGGGGGAGGGGGCGGGGAGTAGGCAGAGTCCTTTCTTAAGAAGGAGGGATTGCATCTTCTACTACCCTTGTCAGTGCTACTGTCTACAGGGCTATTGATGGTAGAGCTATAGAGTTAAACTATATATGATTCTTTCTTTCTCAATACAAAGGAGAACTGCTTAAAAAAGAGGAACACCAAAAAGTATCCTATATCATACTGAACCTGGAAACGAGAAAGAGGTTCAAGCTCTTTATAGTGTGCAATCACAACACAGAGAAAAGCTTGGTTCAATTCCCCCCTTAAGATACTAAATCATTAATTAAATAACAGTGGCACCAGATATTTATTATAGCATTTTTTAGCTTTTTAAATTTCTAGCTTTTCCAGTTGTGAATGTTGTTTTAAATAGTAGCTTATATGTGTAGCACTGTTGAAAATGCACAGCAGTGCAGTGTATGATTCCCTTTTGTTTTATCCTAAGCTGCGTAGGCCCCTGGTGGTAAGGCAGTTCTATATATAACCTACCTCAGCAAAATTATATGAAGCAGAAATAATATTGTTTGTTTTTTAGAACTTAGAGTAATTCTAGTTTTTGTATATAGATTGCTACTGCTATGAGTGTAGAAGTCATGGAAACAAAAGCTCCTGTGATATATAAAGAAATTGCAGAATTTGTCTGGCCAAATCCCATTTTAAAGGATAAATGGGAGCATTCCACTTTAGGGTTGAATATATGTCTGCTTTTCCATAGAAGTCTCCGAGAACTCTTAAGACTTTTTACACACTCATAAATCTTTAGTAGCATCTGAGTGACATGAAGGATACGCAAAATTTTAGAAGGTAAAATGAATGATGGTATCTCCAGAATTAACTCCTGAAATCTAGTTAGCAATATTTTAATGATCTGATTTGCAATATTCAGTTCTTATGGAAAACACAGTGGGATTTTTAGATAGCAAAAAAACCAGGGAGCTTGAATTTATAGCACATCTTTACCATGAGATTTAATTAATTAGGAAAAATATGAGTACTAATAAGACAGATTACAAGAAACTAAACACATTTCAAAACATTTATTCTGCCTAGTTGTTTCCTTTTAAGGATGATAAAAGTTATAGAAGATAACCAAAGAGAAATTCATGGTTTACTTATGACTGTGAAATGTTTCAACAACACAGCTAATAATAAACACAAACTAAAATTTTATACCCAAAACATAATGAAAAGGTTAAAGACTTAGGTTACCTGCATGTCTGGTGATGGAACCTTTTTCCTTTTAAGAAGCATTTATTGGGAGATTCTATACATTCACAGGTGCATTTTGCAGGATTTAGTGGCTGATGTTTAGGACAGGTTTTTTTACATACACACTGGCATTTATCTTCATCAAATTCTTTGTTGGGCCCACAGGAAGTAGGGAGAAGTTTGTTTTTGCACATGCACTGACATGATGCTCTGTCTAATTCTTTGTGAGGTCCACAGCTTGAGGGCCGCACGCCTCCTTTGCAGACACATTGGCAGGTTTCTTCATCCAGCTCTTTGTTTGGTCCACAAATCTGGAATCCTTCAGAAGCATCTAGAAATAAGGCAAAGTTGTTATGTAAATATCTGAATTTTAGCTGCATCTATTTCCACATTTCCAAGTGAAGAAATAATATCACAGTCATACCAGGTAAAGTGTTTTGAGAACAAAAATAATTCGAAAGAAATGCAACATTCAGTAATAGCATTAAAAAAGAAAAAAAAATTCAACTATTTAATTTTCAGAGTTTTTATTTCTCCTTTAGGTGAATAAAAATATGGAACTACATCTGATACTTAAAGTAAAACTACCTACCAGTATCTCCAAGGTGAGAAGAGAAACCAAAATCATGTTGTGCCAAACATCGGCAAATTTGATTATTCCAGATATGATTTTTTGGACAGGTCTTGTTTGCCACATGGCACCTATGGAATAAAATATACTGTTAATTTATTACCATAAGAACTCCAGAGGAAGTCAACTGTAGATGCTGATCACATTTTTTCCCTTCCTATACAAAAATCATATGCAAAGCTTGAGTTTATTCATAATTTAATTTTCTGCTCCTGTCAAACCTATTACTAGCTGAGGTTCTCCCCACTTCAATCATTTGCTGAAGTTACCTTCTTTTTACAGTAAGTTCAAGTTTTAGTTTGAACTTGTAGACACTGTTTCCAAGTGATTTCCTAACGCAGTTTAGTAACAGATCTAACTCTTAAATTTAAACCTTACATACAAAATAGACCAGTGTAAAAATTACTTGTGTACCAAATAGGTGCTAACAGGCACACGTTAATACATTGCTTTTTACAGTACAAAAAGGCTTTCACACATCAAAAGATAATTGAAAGCGATTTCCAAAGTAATGCTGTAGACTGAACTGTAATTTCAAGACCAGATTATCAGATTCCCCTCCCCTTTCTTATAACCTTCTGTGTCATTTACTGGCTCTTTCTCATCAGCCACTCCAGTCTGGGACAGCTTTCTTGAATCTAATCTTTTCTTGAATCTAATGTAATCTTTGGACTTCAGCAGTGATGCCCCTTCTCAGCAGATATGAAAGACAGTAAAAAATTCGCACAACTCGGCACTCTGTACCTGCTAGAGTTTTGCAGCCACAGTAGTGCTGCCAAAGAAAGCAAAAAATCCTAACAGCAGCTGGTCTCTTTTTAAATGACGACTGAACTCTACCAGTAGGTCCATCACAAATAAAATATTTATGTATACTGCTTGATCTTTCTCGCTTGCAATTGCTGTATCACCACAGGTGACCTTACAGGTCTGGATGAGTCAGGCCTTATTTCATGCACCTAGGCTGTGTCACTTAGGCATTGCTTCTGTAGTTACTCCTAATATTCTCATCTGTTAAAACAGTACATACATTGTACATTTTAAATATTTTTTTCATTTCCCTGAGGAGTAGCATTACTCATCATTCAGAAACGCAGGTGCTAGGACATTCCTTGATTATCAAGTACACCACTCCCCTTCACCACATTAAACAGCTTTTTGCTGGTAATGACTGCTGTAGTTTAACATTATCCTGCAATGCCTCATGTTTTATCAAGCTGTCAGTTGTCGATTTCCTTCTGCTAATGATCTCACTCGTGCTCCCTCACTTGGCTACTTTTCCTCTGGGCATGTGTGTTCTTTTTCCTATCTCCTGTTTCTGCTTGAGAAATTGTGCAGAGAATTTGCAGACATATTATTGTCTTCTGTTTAAAAAACAACTCAAACCCAGAGCGGCCTGGCTCTAGCCAGCCGAATTTTAAACTAAATACAAAAGGCAGCCAGGGTGACAGCGTGAGGAAACATCAAGCGCATACGAACCATAATAAGACTACGCTGATAACAAAATCAAGTTACCAAAGAACTCGAGGAGAACTGTATGTATTTCAATGTCAGGAATCTAGACAACAGGCACAAGGAATTGCTTGCTTACACGTTCTACCCTGTTTGCTAGTACTGCAAATTATAGAAGGGAAGATTCATATGGCTGAAATTTTTAAGTGAGTTATCATAACATTTTAGGAAAGTTCAGAAACATCAGAGTGCCAAAGTGCCAAAAACATCAGAGGCATAACACTTTGCAAAAAATTTCACTACCTCTTTCCAAGTAATTGTCAACTTGGAAAAAAAAATGCTAACTTGTTATTTGGCAGTATCCAAAGAGATAATATGCAAGAGAGGGGAATATTTACTGTGTACAACATACATCCAAACCACATCTAAAATATGCCTATCTGCTTTGTAAGCACATACCTACAATAATATGGGGGAAAAAGTCATCATGGAGACTTGATCTGTGTGATGTATAATGGAGGCCCAAACAGAAGAATTGCCAAGCTTCTAAAGTAAAAAGTGACAATGTTCTAATTCAATTGCATTTCTTGATGAAATGCTATATAAACAGAGAACAGTACAACTCAAGATTAATCCAGGAGGTATTCTGAAACAGTGGTTAACATGAACTAACATGCCTCGGCTCCAAAAATACGTGAAGGTAGCTGCTAGTTTTTAGACGATAAAAAGGAGAACAAAATGGGGGAGGGGGAAGGCAAAGAGCTAGACCTTAATTCTTATGATGAAGCTGTGAATAAAATAATTTTAAAGGTTATTGGGTTGTAAGAAAGGATCTACTATTTGTATACTACCTAGCATGCCATTTTTCTCTTCTTTCTTACGTGTGCCTGTATGCCTGTTCCAAGGCATAATCCAGCCTTCAATTCCTATCAGATCCCAAGTGTTACTATCTTAAAAAACAAAGGTTATACTCCTAGTTAGCCTTTTCTTTCTAATAACATGCAAGAAAGACATTACTACAGCTCCATTGAAGTGAGCATGTAGATAAATACATGCACACATGCAGATCTGCCACTGTGACAAAAAAGCACATTTTGAAGGTTGGCGCTTTATAAGTTTCACTAGCATACAATCCCATACACGAAAATAAGAAAAAAAAAAGAAAAAAGATAAGAGTAAGGACAGTTAATACTGGGGACTAGATTAGAACCATGCAGATTTTTTGTCATTACAAGTTTGATACTTAAAAAGTTGAATCCAACTGAGAACTCCTGTGAGCAAGAGTGGATTCTGAAAAGCATCTAGGCACCCATCAGCGTTTTTAGACAGCTAAATACCTTGAAGTTTAAAATCCTTTTAAAATAAAGCTTTTAAAAAGAAAATAGAAAAAAATCCTCCTGAATGCTTCTATATTCCAAATATTAAAGTAAAGATGGTGCTAGTGCTAGTACTAGAAAAGGCCTTTATACATTCTGCTGGTCTAATATTCCTCAGCCTTTTGAAGCATGATTCCTTACTCACAAAACAGCTACTTACTGTAAGTACTGGTCAAAGCCTCCCTGTATCTATATGCTTACTTCCCTGTTTAAAGGTAACTGAGCTTTATTTGCAATTTAAAGATAGTTAACTGTTTTCTGGCTAAAGTAAACACTTGCAGTAGTAATTGCAACTGCTCTCACTGTGGAAGAACGGAGAAGCTGCCAACAGTCAGTGTAATTTGACTTCATTATTTACTCGAGTTTTCACTTTTTATGATGTTAATTAGGCAATTACTTATTAATAGATTTATTTCCAATCCACTGTTTATGACCTACATTTTGATAAAATTCAATAATGTGAATTGAAATATAATATAGTCTGTATTTAGTTAGAGCACACTTCAGAAAACATCCAGGCTTGAACTGAATGAAAACACAGGAAGAACTAACTTCTGCGGACATTTTCCTATTCACTTGCCTTATTACAAAGGCATATCATTAACTCCAGTTCAGCTGCTAGCCATCGGTTCTTCTGTAAAACAACTGTTAGTCTGTTATGCACTTTTGTTCTACTAAATATTTACACATCATGAAATCACCACTTAATCTTCTAAAATAAAGAGTATGAGTTCTTTAAGCCTTTTAGTAACAATTGTTTCAGTGCTAGATTTCTTTTGTGTTTAATTTTTCAGGTTTTGAAAGAAAAAAGAATCAGATGCTGTGTTCCTGTAGCACTTTTCACCAGACCTAATATGCTAAACCACCAAATCGAAATGCTAATTCTCTGGATTGCCCACTAATGCTTTATTTCCCCTTTCCACTCTCTTTTGCTTTCACCTCTGGAACGTGGAAATGTCCAAAAAGATTTTTAGTCAAAGATTTCCTAAAAATAGGTTTTTTTATCTTTAACAGCTGCTCACAAGAAAATACAGTTTGAAAGAGAAATATTGACTACTCCTTATTTCTAATATTAAATATTTTTGTATAGGTTTTTTTTTTGGAAGAAGTTGATTATATCCTTTTTGAAGGTCTAAATAATTTATTGACTTAATTATCATAGCATCACATTTTGCAGGTAGGATACATAGGTTGCTAAATTTGAAGATCCATATACCATTGGCAAATTCTTATGAAAGTCAGTGGCGATTTTCTGTAGGCAGGAATGAGTAAGATGAATAAAGACCTTCAGAATTTGGCTGTCTGAAAGCATTCATACCTCCAGTTACATGATATTTCACTACTTATTCACATCTTTGAATAATTATATATTGTTATATAAAATTATTTCACATGTTTTCTCTAAGCCTTAATTGCATTGTAGCTCTTCCCATGGAGAAAAATCTCATAACATTCCTTTTGATTTTTAAATGACCTAGCCCCAGTTTATACAACTGCATAATTGCAGTTGTATAATTATTATACAACTAATTATTCTAATTAGTCTAGTAACTAGTAACTAGGCTAATTATTCCAGGCTAACATTCTTTCCAGGTAAAACAATATTAGTTCCCTTTATAAAATTTTGCATTCTGCTACTACTAGTGTATATAAGTTGATCTATCTCAGTTGTAAAAGCTTGGAATAGTATTTTAAATCTAATTTCATAAGCTTGCTCACAACAGGAGAGGAAAGACAGGGTCAGTACTTACTGAGTTTGTGCTGCTGGCAAGGAACGTCTTATGATAGAATGAACTTGTCTGTAGACATCCAGCTTTGACATGCATCGGCACGACGTGTGATTGGCAAAACTGACAGTTACAGGTTTAGGGCCATGGGAGAGTGGCACTGTAATCTCAAACAACTACAAAAAGGAAAAAAAAAAAATAGAACCGTTTATAGATCAGTTACAGTACAACTAAAAATAATATAACGACAAAAAAAAAAGCTATAAGGAAGTTAATTTGGGGGTTTTGTTCCCTACCTACATTCAGTGGCATATACAGTTATGCTACTAAGTAATCATTATGTACAAAATGAATACAATAACTATGTTATGACAATTGACATGCTGCCCTGTTACATGCCTGTTTGCTTACTATGCATTGAAATTAAAGCTGTTAAAAAAGGAAAATGTACAAAGAACTCATTCTGCAAGAGAAAATGACTTTCAAATTGGCAGTCTTTTTTAAAAACAAAACGTAATACTTGGAAGGTGCTACCATCATCCACAAAGTTAGAAAACAAGAATAATTTTAAAAGGGAGTAAGTTAGAACATAGTATGTCAGCACTACAGTTACAGAGCTTGTGTAAAGCAGCAATATATTGGATTTAGGCCATAATGTTTTTGGATGAACACGTCTATAACGACAGCATGCTGTATGTTTCACTTTCCAATATTTATATCAAGGCAAATTATATGATTACCCTAGCAGAATGCATCTTGAGTTCACAGTATTACCTTTGCAGGATAACATCGCTATTATAACATAACTATGTTTTATTTACGTGAATTAATAAATTCCTACTTTTAGTGGGAAAAATAGTTCTACTGATGGAGGAGCACAATTTCAGCAATACTTTCTGGAAAAAAATGAATATGGAATAACTAACTGATAAACAGCAAGAATCATTTATTATTTAACTCAGGACATTTATTTTATCAAATTAAGAATATTTTCCTCTAAGATTCAAATCTTGATAGTTTCCGGAAAAGTTAGGACAAATACTTTACATCAAATTCTAAAAAAATTTCTTCATTTTTTGTCGTATTTTAAATCGCATAATGTGCCCAGTTGCCATTTAGGTGTTTACTCACTTTTCCAAATAAATTTAAGAATCTTTCTGCACCTTCTGGGGATTTAAGTACTTTTAAAAATATTGCCTATGCTTTTTAATTCCACTTTCAGCTGATGGGATTGCATATCATGACAATTAACTTTGTGCTGAAATTTATTTGCAATCTCATTCTTCTTTACAATCAATAACTTTATAGTCTGGCATACAGGTAGCATGCAAACATGATGAAAACATTGATAATTTTAAATAATTCAAAATGCAAAGCATATTTACTAGTATGTCTTAAAAACAATATCTTGCACGTATGCAAGTGAGCATACACATTCAAGTACACACAGCCCACGATGAAGCTTATATAATTGTCATGGCTAAACTATGGAGCTTAAACTCAGGCTTCATAAAGCATAATCAACCCTGAAATATTCCCTATTTCACAAAACAAATTTTGGCAGTACTTAGTGACTGGACCTTAAAAAATATTTGTCATTGGGAGTGTCATCGTACAAGAGCTGAACTGGCGAAGATATTAAATCGTCAATTTTACTCTGTTACAGAAGCTGCAATGCTAATATTTTTGCTGTATCTTTTTTGTTAACAAACAGGCTTTTTACTCTAGTTCTGCACGTACAGCACCGTTAGAAAATACAACCTCTCTTATATCAGTTTTAAATGTTGGTTTTCCAGTAGGATTTCTGAAAATGTAAACTGATACACATTTACTTCTGTAGAAGGAAAACCAAAACTGAAAATAATTTCCTGCATCTTCCAAATACAGATGAAAAACTGTCTATCCAAGGAGCTACCATGGAAAGAATTTCTCTTGCTAGTCAGAGAGACTTCTAGCCAAAGCATACTAACATTTGGATTCCTGCTCCAGTTGCAAAATAAACAACCCTTTTAAAACTGTGGTCCTCAGAGGCATTAATAAGATAATGGGAAAAGATTTAAAGATTAAAGATTTAAATTTTAAAGATTTGTACTAATAAAATGATTTCTAAGCAAATGTCTGCTTTCCTCAAACATAATTATCATCCCACAAACCTCCAGGTTTTTCACTAAGTTCAAAACTAACCTCTGGTAAGAGACTTTCTATCAACTTTTAATTATACTTACAATCCTCCTTGGCTTGCCAACCAGGATTGGCTCCTCTGTCCTTATCTATTATAAAAGTTCTTTCAAATTAATCACTAAAGCCGTTCTTACCAATATGTCTTATCCAGAAAAGCAATGATCATTACACAGAGCTATCTTTTTGTTCTACTAGTATTTTATATGAGCATTGCTTTATGTACCTATGCACTTCACTTGAAAATATTCACCTATTGAAGGCCTTCATAGTTTTTGTTACAATGCACTACATGGACAAGCTAGCCAGCAAATTACTGGGGATGGGGGGAGGGTTGTTCTATTTTAAGAGGCAGAAAGGACCATGCTTTTGTAAAATAGCTTTAATTTGTGCACACAGTACAGATTTGAGAAAAGAGATGTGAAGTTCTTTGGGTTTCTGTTTTTTTAAATACTGATCTCCACAGAGGTGCCACGATGCACCTACATATGCATGAATTCCACCTCTTATAAAAAGCTGCGCTTTCAGAAGGACAGCGCAGCAGCTAAGACCTCTTTGAAAAATTTGTCCATATTATAATCAACAGATGTGAAAGTCTTTAATGTATTAAATATCTTGTAAGAACATTGATTCTTAATACATGTATATGAATTTGAGGGGCAGAACAAAGGGTATGGATTTAATTATATTGCACGTGCAAAGAGAATCTTGTGTTTTTTTGTGTTCTCAGAGGACAACATGAACTTCCTTTTCTGAAGTTGGAATAAAAACCTGCTATAGGGAGAACTGATAAAACTCAGTAACTGAAGATAAACATGATTCTTTGCATCAACCAAATTGTAGCTGACTAGCAAAAGGGGGCGTATTTTGTACGTATTTTGTAGCAAAAGGGGGAATAGTCCACTATTCCTGGACTAGGATCAGTTTGCCACGCTGCAAATTGTAACAGACGCAGACTGCCGGAGAGGGCAGTATAGGACTAATGCTACAATTTTAAGCCTGCTGAAAGAGGTCCCTGTCAGTCTTCTGGATAAGTTGCTTCTGGATAATACACTAAGAGAAATTTCAGTAAGCCTTTGAGCAGGACTTACCAAGTGTGAGCTGAGAAGTGATTCATCTTCATCTACACTTATCTTTCCATTTGAACTGTGAAGGATGTCAGTTTAGAGGCAAATGTTGCTAACAACTATTCTCAAAGTTTCAGTATTACAATGCAAGAGTAGCCAGCCTACTTAAACAGCATAAAGCTAGACTAACTTCTTTGACTTCAGGGAGTTACTTTCAGTTTGTTCAACTGAACTCTGTTAACAGCAACGTATTTTGCAGCACCCGCAAATAGTTACTGTTCATACATAAAGTCAATAGAACAAAACCAACTGTTTATGTTAGAAATTAGATTATATTAAATTTGATATTACGTTTCTAGCCCTCACTTTCGGTAAGTGGTGGCGAGCATACGTGAACTAGCATTTTGAAATAGAATATGAACATCTATTTTCTTTACTGGAAATGACAGAAGTAAGATACTGGGGTTTGAATTATTGGAAATATTCTTCTTACAATTTTTGTTTGCACATGCTATTAGTATACTATATTTTGGTGCGTTCTCAAAAAACAGGTATTTATATTTCTTTTCTGAGAACAAAAACATACTAAGCAGGCAATTCACAAGAAATAAATTTCTGAAAAGTATTTATTACTGAAAATATGTGTGTTTAATATTCAGCATAATTCTGTTTATATAAAGTCTGATAATTTAGAACAGGATCCATTCTAAAACAAGCCTGCATTCTGCTCCTGGTTGTGATAGCGTCATCTCTAAATCCATTGAAGCTGTTGAAGTGAAAGTGAATAAACTGTCTATTTGTAACTTGGTTTTGAATCACCACATCTTTTAAAAATATTTAATTTAGATAAGATCTGACCTTCAGTAATGCTTCCTTTTTTTTTAGCATCTTTAATTTATCTCTGCCATCCAGTAGAGCCATGAAGTCAACATCTGTGGTCACTATGGGGCATGCTTGGCAACACGTAATAGCCACATGTCAATATCTAGAAAGGATTTTTGCAGAGAAATGCAGCATAGCATCTGTGTGTGAGGCTAGCTCTTGGCTGGCTTATTTTCTGGCACTGTTGCTGGCTGCCTAGTGCCCATAGAGGTACCTCTGGGGCTGCTTGGAGATGAGAGAGCTGACAGACAGGCTGATCCCTCATGCAGTAAAGGAATAGCTTCTGAAAGGGCCAAATCTTCCCTCTCTTCTCGGCTTCAAATTGTAGTAAGGATTGAACTAATACATGCTACAGGCAGTAGAGAAAAAACATTTCCTTCAGGTCTATTCTTCAAGGGCCAATGCCTAAAGGACAGATATTCAGCACTAACAACTCTAAAGAATGAGCTTCAATGCCCAGAAGAACAGAACATCAGACAGTAGTAAAGATTTGGGCCGTTTCTTCAGAGTGGGGAGTTTTTGTTGTTCACTGCTTTGAGAAAACTGTTAAATAGTAAAGAGTAAATTAGAGTGCATTAAATAAGCATTGCTAAAGTTGGAGGAAAACACTCAAAAATTGAAAAAAAATCAGACTTGCCCATGCAAGTCCTGTGCATACGTGCTACCAGCATCTGTTCTGAGCACTGCATGAGGTTAGAAACTCAATGGAAAAACAACAACCAAAGCAGTAACTGATAGCAAAACTAGGCAGTATTATATACTACAGCTTTATACTACAGAATTACAGCTAAGCCTCTGTTCCAACCTCTTCTGCATGAACTATTATGGTAGCAGAAATGAGTAACATACTGTTAATGTGAGTATATAACCCATACTAATGAAAGTTCTAGGTATCTCAAGAACAGTTGAAAAATACACATTTCACAAGAATTTATCATCTCCCATTCTGTCAGTTTGAGACTGTTTTGTTCCTGATATCTAGTTGTCAGGTCTTCTAGTCTTTCTCATCCCTTCTAATATTTCTCTTCAAAGCACTGTGTTCAGGCTTT